TGCACGGGCGTCTGTGTTGGCAGTCCAGGCCTATCATCCAGGGTGTACTCCCAGGTATTTAGTCTGTACCAACTCCACACGGTCACGTTGGATGGTACAGTTCCGGGCCTTCTGAGGTCACCACCACCTCCTGGTGTTCGGTTGGTTTCCGGTTTGAGGTTGGCAGGTGGTTTGGAGTCACACCACTGTGACAAGCAAAAACACTAACAAGCCAATTAACTGTTTAATTGTTATTAGCTATTTACACTTCATCATGAGGTCAAAATCTGGATTATTGAGAAGGGTGAAAATTAGTCGACTAATCATTGCAGCTGCAGCTCAACAATGACACCAAACTCCTGTTTAGTTCTCCCAGATGGCCACGCCCACGACCGCAGCAACAGTCGCAGATGAAAAAATGTGCTCAGCCTGACCTCTGCCCCACAAAAAGAGAGCTTCAGTAAAGCCGCCCCTCTCTTGGGTTATGCAATTATTCCCACATTTTGGGTTCATTTTTGGGCACAAAATCAGAGAATGTCCATATAAAAAAAATAAATAAAAAACAGACTAATTAAAATAGTTTAAACTAGTTTCTGATCAATGTATTAGTTGAAAACTAATTAACTAATTGACCACTAACTCTTTGCCTCACAATGACACATTTCCTGTTCACTGTTCTGTCTCAGAGCCGGCGGGCAGCGTGACATAACGGCAACGCTCAGCACTCAGGAAGAAACGATCTGATTCAGTTAGTGACGAGAACCTGAAACAGTGTCAGGAGAATAAACGTCAGGCATGGAAAGGTGAGAGCAGAACAGCAAAGGAAAAGGTGCAAATCAGGCTACTTCGCTTCCTTCTCCGTAACTCCCTTCCTCCTTCTTCCTCCTCGGCAACGGCCAGTTCCTGGGCTGCAGGTCCGGAGGCAGTCAAGAGGGCGGCAGCCGGGTGAAGGAGATTCAGAACTTCCTCATGTGTGTCGGCTGGAAGACCTGAAGCGTACTCTCTCCCACAGTGCGCCAACAAGTTGGGACACTCAACTCAGCAAGACGCACACCGTCCTGTAGACGTAAGATGTTACTCTTTCTCTCATGTGCTGGAGATAACTAAGTACATGTACTCAAGTACAAAATTTGTGTTCATTATGATTAGTTTGTCACATCTTACTGCAGGCTTCTTCAATTTGCATATTGTACTCAACTATATTTTGCTTAATTGTGGAGCCTTAGTCTCACAACACCTTTTATTTCTGATACCATTTAAGTCACATTTTGCTGATAATTACTTCCTTTACAATTACTTTAGATTAAAAATGTGGACTTTATCACAGTAAGATTATTTCCTCCCACAGGTGCGTGTTTTTCAACTGTGACAAAACAAACTTTAAACCCCAGGGGATGGGAGAGACATGTGGTTGCAATACGTTTGTGAAAAATGGCAACTTCACCAGCGAGTCTCATTGACCAAGACCTGGATCATAAGGTGTGTTTGAATTAAATCACCTGTGTGTCGATGTAAATTCTGTCAATATGAATAAAGTACTGATAAATAATCCAATGCAAGTAAAGACACAATAATGTATAAGACTGACCCCTTTCTGTCCACAGGCGACCCACCAAGGTGAAGGAGGTGGGAAGGGATCTCCAAGCAGCTCAGCCGTACTGCTGACGAGAGATCAGTGAGCCGTCAGTAAGCTGAAGGTCGGTTCGGTGGCACATTTTTACACTAATCTGGTCTTTAAGAAACATCACAACACAACCTTACTCTTTAAACTCTGTCTCTCATTAGGAACCTATATCAACATTAACCCCCAAGATATAGAGATGAATGGTCCTTTGGAACGCCCTGTCTGAATTTGTAGAGGTCAGTGTCCACCACTTCAGATTCCATCAGGAGAGACCGACTCTAAACCCTCTAATGATAAAAAATACTATTTTATTTCCTCTCCAGCGAGTCCCGGAAAATATATTCTTATCAATTACTTGGCGAGCTGGTTTCCAAAGATCGCTGCGTTGGCTTTAAAGCTGCCTGATCTATATGACTAAGGTATGAAACAACCTGTATGTGACTTCACACTGATGATGATGATGATTGATGATGGATGATGGATGGATGGTGATGAGTGTGTGTCTGTCTTTCAGGCCATCCCGCCTGCTCCAGACGGAATCCAGCGAGCGTCACTTTGTCCCCAAGTTCAGATATCCTGCCTGCTCGTAACGCATTTTTCTGCACCTTCTCCCCCACCCAATGCCACCGCCCCAACGCAGAGTACCACAACCTACCCAGCCATATAAAACTTCTCCAGGGTGGGGGAGGCACAGCATTACACCACCCTGCACATACAGCTTTTACACTCTCTGTTCTGTGTCTGTGTTTAACTCTGAACTCTCATTCTGCATGTAGTCTGTTTGGGAAGCGGTCAGAGCGGAAGAAAGAAAAGCTGGAGGGCCATCATGGCATTACTTAAAGTGGTGTTAACAGACGACGAGTGAGTTAAAGCGCCTCTTCCTCCTGTTTGTGAGACGCCTCACGTGAACATCTGTGACCTCTGGTTGATGTCTTTGCAGCACGAAACAGAAGGACTGGTGACGTTTGGAGAGGCGTTGCCTTCAGACACGCGTGAGCTGCCCCACGGAAAAGTTTGAGTAAGTACATAATAATCTTTATTTATAGAGCAAAAAACCAACAAATTAGGTCAGTGGTTCCCAAGTGGAGGTCGGGGGTTCCCGCACTAGCGGTGCAAAAGCTCACAGGTGACGTAGAACAACTTTTTCCGTGAAGGAAAACCAAATGATATGAGTTGTTAAAAAAAGAACCTCGATGGATATTTACAGGAAAAATCTGCCAGGATTCATCCAAATATTTTGTTTTACACAAACTCCTGAAGTTAACTGAGTTCACATGTTTGTTGTTCACTTGTTCAGTTTTCATATTGCAGGAGTCAGGGGGTTGGGGAACCACTGAATTATAAAAAATAAAACCATAAAATCTGATAAAGATGGATTACAGTTTTATACAATTGATGTAAACAAGATACAAAGACAATTCACACGTTTAAAGTTCCAGTGTGTCACATTGAGGAAGGACTCTATTGGTCAGAAATATAATATGTATAGGTATGTATTTCATTATGTTTAATCACCTGAATATAAGAATTGTTGTGTTTTGTTTACCTTTAGAATGAGATTTATTTAACTCCAGAGGAGCGGGTCCTCCTCCCAGTGGCAGAGTCTGCCATGTTTCTACAGTAGCCCAGAACGGACAAACCAAACACTGAAACTGCAATTTACATTCTAGCAAATTCATTACACATGTTACCAATGATAGTTGAGCTTCAATCAGAGTCAGAGTGCTGCTAATGTGCATGTCGGCTCACTGGAGAGGCTCTGCTACACTAAATGGAACAAAGCCTTAATTAATATCATTGGTAACACCTTTAACTTACTCAAAAAGGTCTATTGGTGATGTT